GTACACACCCACTGCCCCCTCACACACATTTCCCCACACACACACTGTACCCCTCACACACACTACCTCCCTTAACCCCTTAAGGACCAAACGTCTAAAATAAAAGGGAATCATGACATGTCAGACATGTCATGTGTCCTTAAGGGGTTAAACACACTCTGCCCCACCACACACATTTTACCCCTCAATACACACACACACACACACAGTACCCCTCATGCACACACTGTATCCCTCACACACTCACTGCACTCTTCAAACACACAGACACAATGCACCCCCGCACACACACTGCACCCCTCACACAAACACACACACACAGTGCACCCATCAGGGCAGGCTATTTGACTATTTGAGCTGTTGTCCGTCCTCACCTCTCTTGCTACCCTTTTTTACACACACTAAACTCCACACACATTGCATCCCTCACACACATATATTGTGTCGCACACACTCACACACACACACACACACCCACACTATTGCCCCATTTCTCATACTACAGCCCCTATCCTGGCAGACCCCGAGTAAGTTGTCAAACTGTTCTTAAACATGGCACTCCTGGCACCATAACCACTACAACGTGCTGTAGTGGTTATTGTGCCTGGATTGTTTCTTTAAATAATCTACCAGTGCCCCTCCTGAAATTAGGTTCTGAATCCGCCCCTAGGTCAGTTTGTGATACTTCCAATATGTTTTGGGATCACATGTACATTGGGCATAAGCAGTAGTACACCATTAACAAACAATGCCAATTGTAAGCTAGGGGTATAAGGCCTCTAATGCGTTAAATGGTTTGCTGTCTTGAAATGTTCCAGTGAGCTTGGTACCCATAGCCATCATTAGCTTTTCGCTGCTGGCATTAAGTTTCAAAGACGTTTTTGTTCCTGCATCTTTCATTTCCTTCCCTACATTTCAGGCAATTTCCAGCTATTTACTGTATCGGCGGATGCCACTAGATCTTCCAGCAACAAGCATTCCAAGGGCTCAACCTGTTGAGAGATGTGGCTGTGTGCGTAACATCTCTGCTTAGTGGCTTACAGTGTCAGAGGTCTATTCCTCTCATCTGTGCTGCCAATTGTACTCTGCCAGATTCAGAAGTGCTTAGTGTTTTGCTACACATATTTATTGCGATTGCTGATGATATTGAACTTTGTACTGTTCATTGTTCTGTCCATGTGTTCGATGTTGTCCTTGTGCTTACCTGGAGCTACTCTAAAAAGCTGAATTTCTCACCACCTAATAAAAGATTCATTTAAAAAAAAAAAAAAATGACAACCATGCGTGGAGACCGGGGAAAAAACTCAAGCGCAAGAAGCGATACTCAAAACAGGTCTTGCTTAAAGCAAGTGAGCTCACTGCCCTGCCAGTTACATAATAATTTAATATGGAGACAAACTGTAATCCATTAACCAACTGATTATCTATAATATAAAAAATGTATATTTATAATATATACAATCTTAGAGATAATAGTTTAAACAAAAAACTTTTTGCCATACTAAAACATTTGCCTATTTTAATTTTCTTTTATATTGAATGACAGGAAAAATTGATGTATTCCTCGAATGTGATGGGTGGGAACTTTAAGCAATGCTTGGGTACTTTTATTAGGTATTTACACCGAGGAATGGCGGAAGAGGGAAGAGGGTTTAGGTGCTAGTTTTAAGAAATGGTGTGCATCTATAATTTATAACAGAGCTTAGGGACAGTTTAGTAGTAATTAGAGTTGAGCGGACACCTGGATGTTCGGATCCGCCGGGTTTGGCCGAACTTTGAAACTTGACGCCGAACCCAAACCCCATTGCAGTCAACGGGGACCTGAACTTTTGGGCACAAAAATGGCTCTAAAAAAGTCCTGGAAAGGGCTAGAGGGCTGCAAAAGGACGTAAAATGGGGGTAAGAGTAGGACAAGTGCCCTGCAAACAAATGTGGATAGGGAAATCACTTAAAATAACATAAAATACATAAAATAAGCAGCCGCTTAGTAGATAACTCCCTAATTCCCACGGTATTAGGGGGCTATCTACCAAAAGTCTGAAAGACCTAAATTGGTCTTTCAGACAAATTTACTAATACTAAGTAAACATTACTTAGTATTAGTAAATTCAGCTCCTACTCTCTATACCACGAGTAGGGGCGTGTCTAGTAAACAGTGAGCAGCCAGTAGCTGCTCACTGTAAAAAAAATAAAAACAAACCTATTGTCCCCAACCCTGTGCAACGGGTGGGGGCCCTAAATAACAATAAGGAGGGACCTACTGTCCTCCCCCTCGGCCCCCACCCCTGTGCGGCGGGTGGGGGTCCTAAATAACAATAAGGGGGGAGACCTACTGTCCTCCCCCCGGCCCCCACCCCTGCGCGGCGGGTCGGGGCCGTAAATAACAATAAGGGGGGACCTATTGACCTATTGTTGTGTGTAAGGGATGCATTGTGTGAATCTGTGTTTGTATGCATAAGGGATGCAGTGTGTGTGTCTGTAAGGGGTGCGTTGAGTTTGTGTTAGAGATGCATTGTGTTTCTGTGTGTGTGTAAGAGAAGCAGTGTGTGTTTGCATGTGTGTGTAAGGGATGCATTGTGTGTTTCTGTGTATATGTGCAAAGGATGCATTGTCTTTATGTGTAAGGGTTGCATTTTGTGTGTGTGTGTGTGTGTAATGGATGCATTGTGTGTTTCTCTGTGTGTATAGGGATGCATTGTGTGTGTGTGTGTGTGTGTGTGTGTGCGTAGTGTGAAAGAGCTCCCTGTCCTGCCCCCTGTCCTGTAGAGCTCTCCCTTCCATCCCTTAGAGATCTCCCCTGGCCCTTAGTGGTCTCTCCTCTCCCACCCACCTCCCTTAATGGTCTCCTTTTCTCCCCGACTTTCCATTAGTGGTCTCTCGTCTCCCCCTTAGTGGTCTCTGCTCTCCTCTGCCCCCCCCTTTCAATTAGTGGTCTCTCCTCTTTCCCCACCCTCCCCTAGTGGTCTATCCTCCACCCCCCCTCCCTTAGCGGTCTCTCCTCACCCCCCTCCCCTAGTGGTCTCTACACCACCCCCTCCCTTCTTTAGTGGTCTCTCCCTCCTCCATGTTCTCCTCAACCCCCTCTCTGTGTTCTCATCTCCCCCGTGTTCTCCTCTTCTTCTCCCCCCGTGTTCTCCTCTTCTTTCCCCCTCCCTGTGTTCTCCTCTTCTTCCCCTCTCCCTGTGTTCCTCTCTTCTTTCTCTTCTCCCCCTATGTAATCTCCTCCCTCCCTGTAATCTTCTTCTTCTCCCCTCCTCCTTCCCTGTAATCCTCTCTTCTTCTCCCCTCTCTTCTCTCTCCCTGTAATCTTCTCTTCTCCCTCTCCCCCTGTAATCTTCCCCTTCCTTCTCCCCTCCTCCTTCCCTGTCCATCTTCTTCTCCCCTCCTCCTCCCTGCAATCTTCTCTTCTCCCCTCCTCCCTGTAATCTTCTCCCCTCCTCCTCCCCTCCCCCCCTCCCTGTAATCTTCTTCTCCCCCTCCCTGTAATTTTCTCCCCTCCCTCCATGTAATCTTATCACCCCTCCTGTAATTTTCCCCTACTCCCTCCCTCCCTGTGATCTTCTCCCCTCCTCCCTGTAATCTTCTCCACTCCCCTCCATGTAATCTTCTCTCCCCTCCCTCCCTGTAATCTTTCCCCCCCACTCCTGTATCTCCACTCCCCCTTCCTCCCTCCTGTAATCTTTTCTCCCTCTCCTGCTATCTTCTCCCCCTCCCTCCCTGTAATCTTCTCCCTCCATGGATCTTCTCCCCCCCTGTACCTTTCCCCTCCCCTCCCCTCCTGTGTAATCTTCTCCCCCCCTGTAATCTTCTCCCCTCCCTGTGTGGCCACACCATCCTCCCTGTAATCTTCCCTCCCTCCCTCCCTGTAACCCCCTCCCCTGTAATTTTCCTCCTCCCGCCCCTCCCTGTAATCTTCTCCCCCCTACCTCCCTGTAATCTTCCCCTCCATGTAATCTTCTCCCCCCTGTAATCTTCTCCACTCCCCCCTCCCTGTAATCTTCTCCACTCCCCCTTCCTCCCTCCCTGTTATCTTCTCCCCCCTCCCTCCACCATTGCAGATGCCCTCGCGACCCTGTAGCAGCACGCACACATTAACTCTCCCACTGCTAATCCCGCAGCGCACATGTGTACATTGTCAATTGACAATGTACTGTCTTGTGCACTGCAGGGGTTAATTCTAAGATAATAAAACATATCAACATTTCATGAATATACACAATAAATACAGAGTGAAATAATATTAATACACACAGACTCAGATATGTGGTGGAAAAGGCTGTGGTCTTTTATTTAGTTTGCAAAACATAACAACCATAACTTAATCACTTGTAACCAAACATCTCCAGTCTTTACACCTTTTTAAGCACCCATTCCAGAAATCATAAAAAACTTTCAAAATAAAAACAAGATCTGCTCCCTGACGACACCTTGTCTTTTAAAGCACCGAAAGGAAGGATGACCCCTAGCGCAATTAATACATTCATGTATAAATCTGCACTAAGTCAACCATTTACATTGCATCTCATTAAATGACCAACAAATACCCTCAAGACGCAGCTCTGCCACATTAGCCTGAGCCTGAGATCTAACTGGACTCTGTAGTAATCTGCTTGGTAGCATAATACCAAGGGCCCACATCCTTCATACTCCAACGCAAATTCTTATGAACAGATAGTTTATTGACGGAATATTTCGTCATAATTGTACCAAGACAATCCACCGAAATTTTTATAAGCCTCCAGTATTGAATCTAGGTGTTGAAAAAGTCCACTAGCCTTTTCAGAATGATGTTCACAATAAATGCTCACAAAATACAAAAAGCTTGAAACCAGTTATTAAAAGACCAAATTACCGGGCGTTTCCTGTCATCCTCTCTTTCTTGCTTGAACAAGCAATCCTTAGACACTGGTAACAAAGAAAGAATATCCAAATATTTTTTATTCCATATTTTTTTTTTTGAGGTACCGGCTTGCTCACCGTCTTCAAAAACTGACACTTGCCCAGTTCCAGAAGGCTGACAGGATTTCTTCTTCCTTTTCCCTGCAATCCTCGTCTTTTTGCTTCATGTGATAGGTGGAGGAGAATAAATCATTCTTTCTTCCTTGAAGCGTACTTCTCTCACTCAGGCTTATGGACATTTGTGGCTCCTCCTTAGAGTCTCCCCCTTTTGCACCCTCCTCTTCCCCAGGTTCCAAAATGTCCATTAATGTTAATTCCTGTGGGCGTGAATGAACTTGAGAGGAAGGGGTAGACAAAAGACACTGCATGGGTGGGCGGGGCCGGACCATCATGCCGGCTAGTCGCATGGAAAACAAGCTCCCACAACTTTTAAGCTTTCTGACCTGCTAAAACAGAATAATCACACACTTAATACAACAAGACGATAGTACCTTGAACTGGGCTGAGTTGGTCCTGAAGTTCGGCACACAACTTGCTTCTCTGTGTTGTATTTTCTTCAGCTGTTTTGGCGCCAGCTGTTACCTGAGGGCGCCTTATATATTGCCTTTTCTCCCGCTTTACAGTGCCCTCGCTGACAAGCGCTTCAATCAGAGCGTTGTCCGCACGGACCTCTGCACTATATGTCCATGAGGGCATCGCACAGACTATTGCCGATGCCCTCGCGACCTGCTAACAGCACGCGCGCATTAACCCTCCCACTGCTAACCCCACAGTGCACATATGTACACAGTCAATTGACCGTATGCTGTCTTTGTATTCAGATCACACTCCTCCTCAATCAGACTTAAATAATTGTAGTACACACTTCACATGTTAACTGAACCAGTTGATTAATATATATGACTTTTCTACCTCCAAAGATAATGGTACTTATTTAGTCTAGCTCGGAAGGATATAAGTCTAAGTCGAGTCTGCTTGGTAACACGAATGCTGTCTGTAGAGTTAAACAAGAGTACCAGTCAGTGTTACGATCTCACTGACGGTTTCATGTCCAAGATATTTAAAATCGTAAGCAGAATGCAAGATTGTAATATTTATCATAAAGCATTTATCGCAGCTGGGTTTTCTATCCCTGGATATTTATCATAAATGTAATTTATTGATATATGTTGTGTTTTACAAAAGGACAAACTATTCTATGCTCATCTTCTAGAAGCGATGATGCTAATTTATCGAGCAGTGATTTATATGTTTTCAGGAGCCTGGCTTAATTCAATGCACTTTGTAAGTACTGTCCTGAGATGTCCTTCTTCTTGCTTAAAGATAAGCTGATAAAATAGTTCTAAATATGCCATTGCTTGAGAAGGCACTTTGTGCAGATTAAATGCTGTAAGCAGCCTGAGCACCTTTTAAGAGTTATAAAGAACACTTTATACTTAACCTCCTGATTTAGTTACTTCTGCTAGAAACTTCTGTTAACTCTATATTAGGCTATGCCCTTGACAAAGAAGAGTCATATATTTTTTTTAATGTTGATGATTCTTGATATGCTGTGTGGGAATACTATCGAAGCCTTTTACACTATCAAAAAATTTGAGAAAATAAAACACATAAAAAAACAGAATTATAAACAGATATATGAAACCCTTTTAAGAGCATTGAATGTTGGAGAAGGAAAAAGACAAAAAAAAAAACAGAAAAATAAATGTGAAATAAAATTTGTGACAATAGATGTCCCTGGTTGCTTTAAGACTATTCACAGAAGCATAATCCAATTTGTAATGTATTCATTAGCAAATGCTGTGTGCCAATTCTTGCTTTCTGTTCCTGGTTATTTTTATCAAGGCTTTTAATCTGAAGGAAGATGTCAGCCAGGTCCAGCAGTTTTTTTTATTTTTTTAAATATTGTAATTTAAACAAAATGGAGAGAGAAATCTATGGATTTTCCCCAGTACATCCAAAAATAGGAGCAGCGTAATATAAATGGTTCACGAAGTAACAGGCTGGAAATATTCACAAATAAAGTGTTTCATTATATATATCAATTCTGATAAATAATAATAAAAAGAATACAGAGGAGGGAGTGGGACCTCTTGTATCCCACAAAGCTGAAAATCTAAGCCTAATGCTTATTGGCTCCTTACTTGTGAGTGTAAATTTATCGGAAGTTTGGCACTTTATCTACAAGTTCAAACGATATTGCACTATTATTTGTCTTTTATGTTTTTTTATAAGGATTTTACCTAACATAAAGATTTGTTCCTGCATGTGCATGTAAGATACTGCGTCTAATATATATTTGTGAATAATAAAAAGAACCCCATACATTATAAATGCCATATAAGAAATAACCATTAGGTTCCCCCTTGCAAAAACCTGGAAAAAGGTTTTAAATGTACCTTAATCCAGCGTAGGGCAAAGCTCCCGGTGCTGATCTTCCATACCCCGCTATAATGTTGTCCAACACTCCTGCAGTCTATTCACAAGCTTCTTATAGGAAAAACCTGTGATTGGACCAAATTGCCTGCTTATAGAATATTTTTCCTAACTCTTGAACAGAGGTAGATAGGAGGGAGTGCCCACAGAGGGGGAGGGAGTGAAGACCTATCTTCCCCTTGCAGGCCCTCTACCTCTGAAACAGAGTTCTAAGTCATGTGTGTTGAGGGTGCATGTATGCCCAATACACAATGAATAATAACTAAATATGTATAGTATTTCAAACCAAAACACTGCACATACTGATTACTTCCACCATGACCACATCAAAAGACTGAAGAGGTTTATGATGGTTGGAGTAATCCTTTAACTTAATAACAGTTTAAAGAAACACATTCAAGGCCACTTAAGGAAGCAAATCAAAAATATTCTTATGTAATTTTAGTGTTTACATTAAAAAGTATTGGTCTAGATGAAAATTCTTGTTCTGAGGTAGTATATTTGCTTAAAGATCAAATACAGAGAGTCGTCATTAATGATACATTTTCAAGCTGGACAAAAGTGGTAAGTGCACTGGCGTACATACCGCAGTCACAGGGGTCACAGCTGCATCCGGGCCCGTCACTCCAGGGGACCCAGGCTGCCCTGCGTCATCTTTTGCGGCCCCCGTCCGTGCGGCAAACTGCCGAGGCGGACGTCCAAGGGGTCCATCGGGTGGCCCATGCTCTCAGGGCCACCCAATAGATATGGATTGTCAGAGGGCCCGGTCAGCGCTGGGCGCTTTAATGCTGGGAGGAAGTGACTGCACGTCACTTCTCCCAACATACACAGAGCCCGCGCGGGGGGAAGACCAGGGAGTCAGAGTGGGAACTCTCACACCCATCCACCTGAGCCACCACTGGACCCCAGGGAAAGTCACCCTCCTGCACCTAAAAGGTAGGAAACAGGAGGGTGACATACATTTTGTGTGTGTGTGTGTGTATGTTTCTGTCTGTGTGCCTGTCTGTCTGTATGTGTGTGTCTGTCTGTATGTGTATGTGTGTCTGTCTGTGTGTGTCTGCCTGTATGTATGTGTGCCTGTTTGTATGCCTCTCTGTATGTGTGTATGCCTGTATGTATGTGTGTGTATGTCTGTATGTATGCCTGTCTGTAGGTGTGTGTGTCTGTATGTGTGTGTGTCTGTCTGTCTGTGTGTGTGTATGTGTCTTTGTATGTGTGTCTGTGTGTCTGTATGTGTCTGTGTGTGTGTGTGTCTGTATGTATGTGTCTGTCTGTGTGCCTGTATGTGTGTGTGTCTGTCTGTATGTATGTGTCTGTATGTGTGCCTGACTGTTTGTATGTATGTGTCTGTGTGTGCCTTTCTGTGTCTGTGGGTGTGTGTGTCTGTCTGTATGTATATATGTATGCCTGTCTGATTGTATGTATGCGTTTATGTGTCTGCATGTATCTATCTCTATGTATGTATGTGTGTGTGTGTGTCTGTCGGTGGCGGGGGGAATATGAAGGGGGGGCCCACGGTCAGTTTCGCACTGGGGCCCCATGGATTGTGTGTACGCCACTGGTAAGTGGTGTTTTTCAGGGTTCTATTCTGGGACTGCTTCTATTTAACATATTTATATATGATCTTGAATTAGACATTGAAAGACATGTTTTAGCAGATGACACAAAACTCTGTAAAGTAACACAGTGTGAGCAGGATATTACTTTGCCGCTAAGGGATTTAGATAGATTGTGGGACTGGGCACTCAAATGGCAGATGAAATTTAATGTCGAAAAATGCAAAGTTATGCACTTCGGGGGCAAAGAATGCGGAAACAACTTACACATTAAATGGTCGTAAATTAGGGATAACAACACAGGAAAAGGATTTGGAAATTGTCATAGACAACAAATTAGGCAACAATATGCAATGTCAATCTGCAGTTGCTAAGACCAGTAAGGTATTGTCATGTATACATAGGGGTATTAATTATAGAGATGAAAATATAATTTTCCTCTTTATAAATCACTGTTAAGACCATATCTTGAATATACTGTGCAATTTTAGTCACCTGTTCTAAAGAAGGGTATTATTGCGATAGAAAAAGGGCAGAGGTTGTCTACAAAATTGATATTGGAAATGACTACGACCACACCTATCCCTCCATCCCACTTCCTCGTACCTCCCTTCCCCCGTTCATTTTTCATCTCCAACCCTCCCTGATCATCTCTCGACTGCTTTCTTTCTTCCTCTTCTATCTCATTCTCAAACTGCCATGCCTCACTAGTAAGCCTCTGTCCCACTCATGGAACTTGAATCCCCTTCACTGCAGCCTGGTTGTTGCTAGGCATGCCCCTCCGGGCTCGAGATTTCGGACATGCTAGGAGTGGCTGGCTGGTTGATGAAGTGATTCCTCCACTCCAGACTTCGCCAGAGGTGACTTTTTAGGATGAGAGAACATCCAGTGCTGGATTAAAGGTGGGGCAGATACTGCAGTTGACATCTCAGCAGGTGTACTCGTTCATTAATAGAGGTAAATGGAACACCAAATATGCAAATTAGTGTCTAAGACAGTTACTTCAGATTTTCTATTACTGGATACTTTGCCTGTGTTTACTGTCTGAACTGTATGTAATCACCAATGTGTTTACCTTGCGTCCTCTGCGAAGGACAGAATTGATATTATATTCTCTAATAAAAACCTATTTAACACAAAATTGATAAAAGGAATGGAGCATTTTAGTTATAAACAAAGGTTAACAAATTTAAATATTTTTAGTTTGGAAAAACGGTATCTCAGAGGTGACATAATAGCGTTATACAAATATATTCAGGGCCACTACAAACTATTGTTTGGAAATCTATTCTTAAACAGGAATATACATAGGACATGAGGTCATGCATTTTGGCTGGAAGTAGGAGCTTTGGTCTAAGGCAAAGGAAAGGTTTTTTACAGTAAGAACAATAAGGATGTGCAAGCAATGTGCAATTTAACTACCTAAGTTCCAGATGTTTCTGGGGCATCCTGTAATCTCTATCACATTCCCCCCTTTGATGCTCCAGAACCTGGATACAGGTGACTGACAAGCATCATAACACAATAAATCATATAGGGCTCATACCAGGCTAGAACAGATGGGGCTATTCCATTGTCTTTCCATTGACCTATCATAGTTCCCTTCATCCCTTAGGAACTCTTCATATGAAGGGAATCCTAGTTTGCCGTCTTACCTAAGGGGGGTTAGGAAAAAGGAAGGTTTCAGAGTTCCCAGTACACAAT